TTCTTTCTTTCTTTCTTTCTTTCTTTCTTTCTTTCTTTCTTTCTTTCCTTCCTTCCTTCCTTCCTTCCTTCCTTCCTTCCTTCCTTCCTTCCTTCCTTCCTTCCTTCCTTCCTGTTTTTGGAACAGCCGTGCTTATTGCGAAGTTACTCTGTTTGTACACAGGCACAGAAAGCATATACTGTTCAGTATATGTTCCCTGCCCTCTGCCCAGGCATATGTACTCCACATTAGCATTAAATGTACCAATTGTAATGCCACCAGTTCCTGTCTCTTTGTTGAAAAACAGAAATGCAGCGTACCTGATAGCTGTGGTTCTTAATCCAATTTTTAATATCAGAGCTCCTGTGACAGCATGTCACAGCCTAGGGCTGTCTGTTATCCTGTTGTATATTCAGCCCAAGAAATACATTGGATGACATGTTTTCTCACTGAAAAAGATCAGCTGCCGTGCTGGTAAAAGGAAGGAGAGAACCAGGGACATAAGATTTTTTGGAAACGCCCAGAGCAGGGGTCAGCAACCTTAAACACTCAAAGAGCCACAAAAGTTCTAATCGTAATTCAAAGTTCTAATTCAATTCTGGAACTGACTGGAACTCCGGTTCCACCACCATAGAGTCTCCTCCTAGCGTCCTTTTTCCTCTACCTGTCCTAACCGAAAGCCCTATCAATTGTGGAGCTGACTGGTGACAGGGAGCTGCAGCAGAGGGATGAAAGAGCCACATGTGGCTCCAGAGCTGCGGGTTGCCAACCCCTGGTCCAGAGGAATGGCTGCCAACTCTCCCTCCCCCTCCCAATACATTCTAGACAACATTGGCTGCTGAAGGATCCTTGGTTTCAGGAGAACCCAGGCTAGACAAGACAAGGGTTAAAGTGGGGGGAGGGGGGGCGGTTTCAGGACTGAAGGTGAAGTACGGTACCGATGAGGGATGCTTCTACTCATTGCAAATAGCCTCTGTGCGAAGTGGGATAAGGAGGAATCATATCCTGCCAGCCTGAGAGAGACAGTGCCAGCCAACACCAGTCAATGCTGCTTTTTTTAAAACACTAAGTAGGAATCTAGAAATAGCAATGCATACATTTTGTTAAAACACTGGGCTGCACGCATATCCAGTGGAAAGGCAATTCATTTTAAAAATGTTTGGCCAGATACTAATAAATCAACCCTCTGTTTCTTGCAGTTCTGCTCCTTAGCAGAAGAGGCAAGAGAGCTGAAAGAAAGGAATACAGCCTGATTAATGGTTGCTTACCTGCTGTAATTATTACTGTTTGAATTTGTAGGGCAAACGAAACTAAGAACTGGCCGAATGCTAATTTTAAATAAAATCATAAGATACATTGATGCTATAAGTTGGGTCAGATCTTATGAATCCCTTTCCTTTTGCTTCTCCTTTCTTACTATTTTAAAACGTGCTTTGTTTTGTTTTGTTTTGCTTTTTAAATCTGCAGGCCCGTTTATCAGCGTGGTGCTATCAAAACTGGAAAACATGTTGGAAAACTCATTGCATGTAAATTTACTACTTATTGGAATAATTACTCATCTGGCCAGTTACCCACAACCTCTTCTTCGTTCTTTTTTGCTCAATACAAATATGGTATTTCAGCCTAGCGTGCGGTCTCTGTACCAGGTACTATTTTAACACTAAAAAGAAATTTTTTTAAAGCTCACTTTAAAGTGTAGCATTTATCCTTTTTTAAAAAAAATAAGTTTTGGGTTCAGTTTTTGCAGAGTGATATCTTAATGTTGATTTATTAAATGTAATTGTTTAAATCAAGAGAATATAAAATATCACAGTAAGATGAGTTATTAAGGACAAAGTACATAATTCAGTCATAATTTAGTAAATAACCATTTGTACCTATATAGATGCTGTTTATTGATTTTATTTTATTTTTGGGCAGGTGCTGGCATCTCTAAAGAATAAAATTGAGCAGTTTGCTTCCATTGAAAAAGATTTCCCTGCTCTCCTAATACAAGCACAAAAGTACCTGCTTTTACGAGTAGATGCACTGGATGTTCCTTCAGAATCATTAAACAAAGGTAATAATCATTCCTGATAAATTAAACAAACAGCCTGGGAGGCTGAGCAGCTGACAGGGAGTGGGAATGTGGCTCCGTTGGCTGTGGAAGAAACTGGTAAAGGGCAAAGGGCAGCTGGGCAGAGCAAGGGAGAGGGAATTTGGAGGAAGACCCAGGCCTACCCCCTCCCTCGCAGTGAGGAATGGAGAAGGAAGCAACATGAGTTGCATGGCTTATAGGGGAGAAAAGGGCCCTGATCCCCTTCATTAGCTGCAGCTGGGAACACAGTGTTTAAAAAGGGAAGCTGCACACAGGAGTTGGGAGCAAATTGTGAATTATCTGCTATCGTAGAGGCTTATCTGGGTTCCTGGTGTCTTCCCAACTGTGTGTGTTTTGCTGGGCTTTCAAGCCTGCAATTCCTTCTCCTTCTCCTGCCCTGTCAAGTTAATTATTGCAGTGTGGTTTCTGTGGATTTTTATTTACAGTTTGTATGTACTTTGTTTTCGGACTGAATTTCCTCCACTTAAAGACAGTTCTTGGGAGAGGTTTTTCTCCAGCCGAAGGTAACCTGGACATTGGAGGCAAAGTTGGAGGTATTAAAGGGACACTTCTTGCTTATTTGACCGTGTTGCCTTTGTGCCATGCCATGGTCATCACAGCATCTGTTCACCAATCTAGAGTTGAGTTCCTCCAATGAGATGGCTAGGACATATATGAACTTGAACTATCAGCTGATCGCAATGGTGGAAAACCAGAGAATAATCCTTCTTTTCTGAGTTCCCCAATATTTTCTAGTTGCTTAAAATGGTAGCATAATTTTCCAACATTGTTGAGCTACATAACTTACATTATGTAGAGCTACATAAAACCTGTATCATAAACCCTACAGTAGATTTAATCTAATTGAATGTTCACCACAATAGCCATATGTCCCAAAGAAACTAGAGCAGAAAAAAAACTAACTCTCAGTCCTCATGGACAACAAAGTGCTGAAACTGTGTATACAAAATAAAAGTGCAACTTAGCTGTAGTCTTACCTTTCCTGATATCCTACTTTTCTCTCAAGAAGGTAAGACCATTATACAGTTATAATTGTTTTATGAAAAACAACCTTAAACTTTCTTTGTTTATTATAATAATAATTGTTATTTTAAAATGGAACAGCTTTTTCAAAATATTTCCCATCTATACCATTTCCCAAGATACGACCTACCCTGAAAGTAAGTCCTAGCTTGATTTTTACACATGCACCCAATATAAACCCTACCCCCAAAATAAGCCCTAATTAAGATCCCGCCCACTCCAGAGTGGACAGGTAAAAATTAAGCTAGGGTGGAGATGGGGGGATGGAGCTGTCCTACTACTTACCTTTGGACAGTTGTAACCAGGCCTCGCACACCCTGACACCTGCCTTGCCAGGCCATTTCTTCTGCAGCCAGCAAGGCTGGCAAGGCTTTCCTGAAGGCCTCTGCAGCTGATAACAGAGCTCCGGATCGCCTTGCCGGCCACAGAAGAAAATGTTCCTAAAGGCCTCTGACACTGAAAAGGAGGCCAGGTGCAACACGCGCAGTTAGGTTAGTCAGTGGAGGACATGCCCCCAAAATAAGACCTGGTGCCTTTTTTGGTGGCAAAAAATATATATAAGACAGGGTCTTATTTTCGGGGAAACACGGTAGGTGTAACAGCCATTATAAAAATATTGTTTTAAGTTGCTTTTTATTTAGCAAGGATATATGATGGGGAGAACAGTTCCAAACATTCATTTGGGAATTCTAGTAGTAAAATGTTCTGCAGTTTATGCATTGTTGTCGGAGATGAGCAAATCTAACATCTCATGAATGCACTTTGTCAAGTGGAATAGACTGTGGTAAAAATAAGACTAGCTATAAACACTTTAGGGCAGAAAGGTTAGGTTATTTCATATGAGACAACACTTTCTTATTGCAGCTGACTTTTGATTATACTGTTGTCAATTCTAGCATATTAGTCAACTTTTATTGCACCATTTGTAGGCTAATAAAACAAAAAAACGCATTGCAGTAGGGAGAAGATAATCATTATTTTTCACAGCTCCACTTTGACCTGGGATGCTTGCATAAAATTATTGGATAATTTTATGTAAATAACACTATTATAAATATTGTTCAAGAGTGGTTCAATAGTAATTCAGAAAGAAAACAATCTCCGTATAAGCGAGTGGTGTATTTCTTTTAGGATCTCTTGTACCAAATTCCCCAAACTGTTTTTTTAACTTTGGTCTTTAGGATCTTGTCACATCATTATTTATTTGACAAATGACTGGTTTATAATTTGTTATTGAAATTGAGATGGCATATATAAAGTTAGCAATAATTTTATGTGATTATCTAATTTTCGAAGCCTTTTCCTGACCCACTTGCTAACCACTGCTTAATACACTGGGAAGGGAGAGGATGTAGCGTTGTTCCTTTTCATGTTTTGTACTTGTAATATTTTACAAACTTTTTTCAGGGTCTGAACAACCCTCTATATCTATCTACATGGAATATTATATCTGCTCTAATTTTACTCCCATAGCAAACCTATGCAGTTGTACTAGACCAGCTGTTTACTATGTATGCTCCCCTAGTGATAAAATTTAAATACTTAAATGGCAATGGAATAAGCTTAAAAGAAGAAGGCCAATTACCACAGATGTGAAAGAAGTAAATGGAATGCAATCAGTGGTGGGATTCAAATAATTTAACAACCGTTTCTCTGCTCTAATGACTTCTTCCAACAACCAGTTCACCAAACTGCTCAGAAAGTTAACAACCAGTTTCCCAAACTGGTGAAAACTGGCTGAATCCCACCACTGAATGCAATTCACATACTAGTTATATGAATGGAAGTGTCAGTTTTGTATGTATATGTGCAATGTCTTTGTAAACTGGAGTAGGTCAGGATGCTTCTATTGCCTCTTTCATACATCTTCCTCATAGTCTTCCATATATTGTAGAGCATATCTTAGTGGTAATTCGACCTTAATTTTTAACAGACCCACCTTATTTTGAAAAGTCGTGTGCCAAATTGCGAATTGCTATATGACATATATAATTCATCTGAAATTTTAATTTAGAAGACAAAAACACGAAAATGATTCCAATTATAAAGGCTGGAAGAGTAAATTAAAAGTTGGATTTTCTTCCTATCATTGCTGCCGTTTGGCTCATTACAGGTTAAGAATAAACAACTGGAGCATTCTGTGCAGATGAAATTACTTTCATAAGATGTAATAATATATTACTTTTAATCACATTTATGAAAAGACAGGGTAAATAAAGGGAACTTCCCTGTTCAGAGGCATGCATATTAACAAATTAACAGAGTTGGAAGGGACCTTGTAGGTTATCTAATCCAATCCCCTTCCCAAGCAGGAGATCCTACATCATTTCTGACAGATAACAGTCCAATCTCTACTTGAAAGCCTCTGGTGAATGAAGCAACTTCTGAAGGCAAACTGTTCCATTAGTTGATTGTTGTCACTGTCAGAAAATTTCTCCTTAATTTTAGGTTGAATCTCTCCTTGACCAGTTTCCATCCCTTATTCCTTGTCTGGCCTTCAGGTAGCTTGACCTCCCTTCTCTTTGTGACAGCCCCTCAAATATTGGAACACTGACCTGAAAAGGTCTAAAATATGTTCTATAGGGATTGATAATTGAGGAGTCTTTTAGAAAAATAGCATATTTGCATTATGTGCACTGGAATTTATGTGTTCGGATTTCAGAATTAACTTTTTAACCCCACCAAGCCTTGATTAGCATTCTGCTAGAATCTTGTGTCAGGGGATTGTTCTTCTATAGCTGTTGTAGATAGGAATTTTCATTAGTGGCTGTGTTCAGGGATAAGGGGAGTTTTCAAAATCAGATGAGAACAGTAACCATAGTGACTAATTGCTTAACAGTAGAACGGGTAAAGAGGTTTCTTTATTTTTTTCCAGAATAGTCTACATTTTTTTGCTCCTTGATTTCATTGTAAGCCTGGCTTCAGTGTTAATAAGAAGCAGTTGGCACCTTTTTTCTTTCCTTCCAAGTTTAATTTAAATACTTCTTCATTTCTGATTGCCCTCTTAATATCTTCTAGTATCTTTTATAACCCTTGTCTAATCCACATAATTAGCGAATCATGTGAAATATACATTAAGTAACTAGCTGCTAGGCGATGTGGCAGTTGTTCCCTGGAGTTTGAATTTAAAACCCAACACATAGAGACTAGGAATCAAACAGTTCTGATTTGGTAGGCTGAGTTAGCCAGAAGATTTTTGACATCATATTATAGTTTTCAAAACTATTTTGCAAGACTGTCAGAGAAAAATAGATGCCTAATGCCTTTCCTTTGAATTGTGGCCACTCTTTTTATGTGTCCCCCAAGTGAACTAAATGCTTGCTTTGATATTTTTAGCCTTGCTTCATCTATCTCCAAAATATGTAACACATGCAGTATGAACAACCCCCAATGTCCAGTGAATTCACAAGGCGGTTTTGATTATTTTTCCTTTTAAAATATTCAAGTTATTTTAAATGAGAAAATATTTTTAATTCCAGCTACATATACATTTATTATAGCCTTGATCATTCTTCCTGGATTTTTCGAGTCAATCTGCAAGCTGAATCTTTTTGTTGCTCACACTTTCATTTTGTAACACCTTTTAGAATCACTGACTAATACAGGGCCTAATACAGGGCTGTCAAATTCCTGGCCCATGGGCCGGATGGCCATGCCCAAGCCCGGTATAATGAAAGGGAAAAAAGTCCTGATATGTCATGTGATGCCACCATGATGATGTTAGTTTGACACCACTGGCCTAATAGTTAAAAGTTTATAATACCTATAGCCAGATGTCATTTAACACAGATTGTACCAGTTAGGAGAGATGAAGTAGAATTAATTTGGCACAAGACTGCCTAGGAATTGAACAACCATTTGTAGAGATTAGGCAACCATTTGTCTAAAATGATATAGGGTTCCTCTTTGAGCAGGAGGTGATCATTTTACCCCCAGAAAAGTGAACATTTTCTTCCCCAATCAATTATGTGCATAAATATAAAAGATTTATATTTCACATTCATGTCATTAATTTAAGTGCAGGACACGAGCAGAACTAAATGAAATGCACCTGTTAGGACACAGAAAAACTCCCACTACATAGCCCTAAATAATATCCAGAATTAGAATGGCTGTTTCATGTTACTGATACTGCTACATTGCTTACAGTTATAACCTCGGCATGTTCCAATGTGCCACACTTAAGAATCTCGGTTAACAAGCCCATTTATCAAAAGATAAGAGAAGTTTTTCTATTAGTAAAATAAGAGTGTTGATGACCTGTATTGCGAGGCTGGTTGTAAAACTAAAATAATGATCTCAAAACACATTTAAACATCTTGCAAAAAATAACCCAATAATTTTTATTAGAGTGTCTAACATTGCATGTGCATTTAAAGTAATTTCAAACATTTTACTTTTTACTTTTTAATTTTTCAGACAATGGACAGCCGAAGAGTGTCACAGAAAAGGTTAAGAACCTCTCAGAGGCATCCCAAGCCCTCTTCCAGACTTACTTGGGAAGTAAAGCAAAAAAAGGCCCTGGTCTCCTCAAAGTCCCAGGGCACATTCCAAACGCCATCCTTGCGGCAGCCCTCTTCCCAGAGTTTCTCAAGGAACTAGCAGCTCTCGCCCAGGAACATTCGATTCTCTCCTATAAAGTATTGGGTGGTCTTGGGGATTACTACCCATCGTAAAACATTTAAAATATGTTCTCACATTTGTTTTAAATGCGGAACTAACGAAACAAATGTGAACTTCACATTCCTGGTATTACTTGATTCAGGAGAAATTGTTACTTTTGGGGTTGTAAGAAATTGATTAGTAATGAAGCCAATACTTTATTTATGTCCTTTGGCTGACTTTCAGGTATTCTCTTTTAAACTTTGCTGTTGTGATCTTCTGGGTTAAAAAGATACAGTTATACCAGCAAGTTAAACAATCTGTTAACTCTCTTTCTTGCAAAGATTTATTAAGTCCAGCATGACAATCCAGTAAGACGATCACTGTTGAAAGGGGAGCTAGCAATCTTTTCTCCAATCTTCTACCTTACCAGTGATTAGACTTTTGAATCCAAATGGGTTCACTCTAAGCCTGTGATTTGCCTAAAGCAGATGGGAGTGCTGAATGCATACCACGTTGCCTTATGTGGTGGACATGTCTGGTCCTCTAAGCCGGGGTGGGTGGGGTCAAACTCGATTTCATTGAGGACCGCATCAGGGTTGTGTTTGACCTCAGGGGGCTGAGTGTGTGTGGCTGGGGTGGGCATGGCCAGTTTGACATCCTGTAGCCCTCTGCCAGAGAAAAGGGAGAGATCTATTTTTCCGGGCAGAGGGCTGCAGGAGGCCGTCGCAGCCAAAAACAGAACCCGGGAGGGATGTGCACAGCCCTTGCAAGCTCTGTTTCGCTGACAGAGGCACCACGGGCCGGTCCTTCGCTGTTTCCAGGTTCGCCTCATGAGCCAGATCCAAGCACCCCAGAGGCTGGATCCGACCTGTGGGCCTTGAGTTTGACACCCCTGCTCTAAGCTGTTGACTTCTTTGAAATTTAGATTAAATGAGTACAGCAAGTGGATGTTAAATTCTGACTGCAGAGTATTTTCTTGCCATTTCTTGGCATTTTTATTTTAAAAAATGTTAGATTGCTGCTAAAAAAAATAATCTCAAGCCTTATTTTAATAAAATTTGCACAGGGCGAAATATTTCTATGCAAGCTGTAACTTTTATTTGCAGTATATGTTTATATACTTTTGTTGACAAGCTGAAAAGCAAAGGTAGTCTTAGGAATGTAATGATTCCTAAAAATTGTGATTGTATATTTTGTAAGGTTTTTTTTTTAAATGAAAATGGTAAATTTCCAAATTGTTTTTAATGAAATTTTATTTAGTTCAAGAAAATCTTTGTGGTACATGCATATATTGGTTAAATCTTTTTGATGCACACTGATTCGTTGCAAGATGGCACTTTATAGACATGGCTTTAATATATTGCTGTACTAGAATTAGAAAAAAAAAAGATTGTTTTCTGGGATAAATACAGTGCAACCTATTACAATTGGTGTAGAATTCCTTAAGAACATTTTCTTTTTTTGAGTAATGAGACTCATTAGAAGAGTCCAGACATGATGAATTGGTATATTATAGCTGCATTCCAGTTTGCACTAGTAAGAGATTAATGGTCCTTCCAGTGGTGAAGCTAACTTTGAGCAATAAGTGGCCCAACAATTGAAAGCCTTCATTTTCTTTTTCATTGGTGAAAAGGAGAAGCTATTTTAGAAAAAAAAATGGGCATAAAGACCAAGCTAGAAAACAATTCTTTTCATCTGTTTTTAAATTATATTTAGAAGAACTAATAACTGCAGGGAAAATTTGTAATTCCTTTGGTAAGAGTTAATATAGCACCTCAAAGCATAGAAAGTAAAGCAGAATCTGCCTGTGTATTTTTCAGTTCATCGAAATATTGCAGGATGTAAAAATCTTCTTAAATTTATAAGTATTGTATTCTGTCCAAAGTTCCATGTTTGTTCATACCATATCTCAGCTCTTTGCCTTTCTTTTGGCAAGCAGAACACTGTAGCATCTTGGGCATCTTACATTTGTCTTTAGATCTGAAGTTGTTCCCCATAGCAATTCCTTCGAGTATAATTATTCCAGACTAAGGAAAAAAACTATGGATTAGTAGTCAACTGAAGGCAAAATGGTCTCCTATTGAACCGATGGGTAAACAGTTCAACAAAAAGAACAATGGAAGATTATTTCGATATACAGGTATTCCTCGATTTGCAACCATTCGTTGAGCAACTGTTCAAAGTTACAGCGGCTTTTCATCTCGTGATCATTGTTTGGGTTTTCACACTTATGAGCATTGCAATATCTCCAGTTACGTCATCAAACTTTGGTTCCTTGGCAACCAGCATGGGTTTACGATGGTTGCAGCATTCCGGTGTCCTGGGGTTAACATTTGCAACCAGCTTAGAAAGCAAAGTCAATGGGGAAAGCCACATTCACTTAACAACCATGGCAAAAAGTTAAAAAAAATGGGGCATAACTCACTTAAAGTCTTGCTTAAGCAATGGAAATTTTGGGCTCAATTGTGGTCATAAGTTGAGGATTCCAGTGGCAAAATTACTATATGCACAAAGATGAACAGATTTGCTATCATGGAGGAATGGTTGGTGAAATTGACGGAACTTGCCCAGATGATGAGACTCACTTCTTTGATTAGAAAAAGGACAATATCTACATTTGTTGGTGACCTTATTGATTTTTTTTAATGTAAAAAAATGATTTTGTGACTTATGGTTTTGAAGATTAGAAAGACAAAAATAGAAAAAAATGACTATGTAAGCTGAGAGAGGCTTTATGAGAATAATATATATAACTGCAGAGAGGGAGATTGAAAGCCACTTCTTTTATTTTCTGTTCTTTTATTATTATTTTTTCTTCTCTTTCTTTCCTTTTTTATTTTTCACATTATTTTTTTCTTTGAATGTATTTCTTATTATGTATGTAAAAGCTTTTAATAAAAACTATTTTGAAGAAAGTAATTGGCATTGTACCACCCACTACATATTGAGAAAATAATACATGACTGACTGGTTATTTTTCCGACAAGCAATTATTTTATCTTTCCTCCATCTATCTTCAACCTTATCCAAATACTAGGATCATCTAAATCAGAGGTGTCAAACTGGCAGCCCATGGCCCGAATGCGTCATGTGCAGGCTATGCCTACCCCAGCACTGTGAAGGGAATTTTTTTTTTAACTACCAGTTCTGTGGGTGTGGTTTGGTGGGCGTGGCGTGGCGTGGCATGGCTTGGTACCTGTGGCAGGGGAAGGATCTTGCAAAATCTCCATTCCCTCCCAACCCCACTAACCTGCTTTCCAGCTCCCTTCTGCTCTGCAGGGCAACAAAATAAGATCCAGCCAATCAGCTGGGACTTGGGAGGCAGAGAATAGATGGGGTGGAGCCAGTCAGAGGTGGTACTTGCCAGTTCTCTGAACTACTCAAAATTTCTGCTACCGGCTCTCCAGAAACAGTCAGAACCTGCTGAATACCACCTCTGGAAAAAAACATAGTGAAACGTCACATGACAGCAATGTGACATGGCGAGTTTGACACCCGTGATCTAAATGCATGTTCTCTTCAATACTTTCTTTCTGGAATGTTCCTTTAAAAATTCTGGGAAGTCTTGTTATGGTTTTACCTAATATTCTATAAATCATAATTAGTAATAACTAATTATTTTATATTGTTCACAACCCAGAATCATTTGTTGAGGTGGGGACTATACAAATTGAATAAATTAAATAAAACTGCTCAGCCCCCTTTGAGTTACCAGATAAGCTTTCTCTGAATAGGAACCAACAGGGTCCATTATTCCATTTTCAGTAGCTTCAGTAGATTCAGTGTAAAATCTCTAACTGCCAGCCAGTTCATTCATAAGCAACATTTCTCGAAAATCCTCTGTGATTTGAACATGTCGTGCTGGAAGCTTTTATATGCATCTTCTTTTATGACAACTTCATAGCAGTTACATCTTCTCCTATGGGAAACTAAACTCTTGTTACCTTACCAACAAACAAAGGTGATGTAGAGAGATGAACAAGTTTGAGTTACTTTCTGTTCTCTTATCACTAGTTCCAAACTTCCTATGCATATGTTATTAGCTAGCGATGAAGCTATGGTTGAACATATTTGTATTTATAGCATTCCCAATTTATTTCGGGACAGAGGAACTAAGGTATATATCTGAAGAGAAGATGACCTTGAATTTTAGGGAATCTGCTTGAGTGTCTATGTGAATGTGCACAAATCTTTCTGAGGTGCCAGAGGCAAGCATACATTAAAAATGTGCTTGGGTAAGAGATTAGTAATTAGATAAAAGCAAGGTGTGAAAAATATGTATGCAGATAGTGCAAAGAATGCAAGGCCACAAAACAGGAGATTGAATACAGGATTTATGTTTGCATGCCAAGCTTGCTGAGAAATGAGGAAGAGACTTGAAGCAAGTCTAGCAGTCTGTGGTCAGAAAAGCATAAGGAGGTCTGAAAGCTCAAGACATGGTCAGAAGCAAGCCAAACCTGGGAGTATACAAGGAAATCCCAAAATTATATCCAGCAACTGAAAACTGGCAGGATTGTTTAAATCCCCTCCCTGTTAAGCAGTCACAGCTGCATCTCTCAGCACAGCTGGCCAGATGATGAACAGCCAGCCACAGGGTGTCTGTTGGAAGCTTGCTAATTGCTGGTGAGTTGTTCACTCTTGCAGAGCACAGAGCTTTGACTATGTGGTAGACTGGGTAGTTTGTGCTGCTGTCTGATGCCTACATTGAGTGGCCTACACTGGGGAAGTCTGTGTGCTGGCAAAGTAAGCACCTGGCACCAGACCATCTGGGGGAAGGGAGAGCAATCCTGAACACACAGACCCAAATGCTCTGTAATGCCTCTTTTTTCCTCTTCATCAATAGGATTGACAATTCGAGCTGTAACCAATTCTGTAGATTCGCTCTGCACTCCAGTGAATGCCTGCTTGTGAAGCATGTCTATATATGTGTGTGTGTGTGTGTGTGTGTGTGTATACATATGTGTATATACACACACACACACACACACACACATGTATGGCATTCAGCTTTGTTCGGGTATTTTCCCACGTCATTGTAGTTGTGCTTTTAAAGTTGTAGCAACGTTTCGGCAGAATCTCATCTACCATCATCAGGCTTCTGTATAGTGTTCATCTGTGAGTCAGGCTTTTATAGTGGTTTCAGATTTAAATTTGGGTCAGCCTATTGCTGTGCCAGAATGGTTTTTTCTTCATCCTGATTGGTTGGGAATCTAAGTCTGTGTTTATTGGTCTTGGAGTTTGCTGTGTTCTGCTTGATTGGTGTTTCTAATATCTTCTGTCTGTTTAGTGGCTCTTTTTGTGTCTTGATTGGCTGGCAACATTGTGTTCCTTTATTGGAGGCCTTTTGTGCAGCTTGGCTCTGGGTAAATGGACGGCTATCATTAGTTAGGAAGCTAGGTTTCATCTGGGTGCCTGGTTGGGGTGTGTTTGAGCTGGAGGTATGGGGGGGGGGATCTGTTTGTGCCCAGGTGTTTGCCTGGCTAGTGGTGTGGAGATTTTTTTGTTTGTGAGTGCAGGCTTCCAAATAATTGGCAGTCTGGTGGAATCATCTCTTCTATTCATGCTTTCAGGTCTTTTTTCAATCTCTATGGCTTCTCTGATAATTCTGTAGCTGTGGTTTTCTATAGTGGCTAGGGTTTTGGTGGCATTGAAGTTGAGGTCCATAGCACGTGACCTCCCCCCCCCCCAGGATAAGTAAGGAAGAACATTGAACAGAGATTGGGAACGCTTATGGTTTAGGAATGGAAAGAAAGCAATAAGGGAAGCCTAAAGTGTGAAGGAAAGATAGCCATCCTTCCTTGTTCCTCAGTGTCTGACAGACACAAGGGCTGCTGCATTTTCCTTTTGAAGCACTAAAACTGCATGTTTTTAATCTCCTTTTGAATAAAATTAAGTTACCACAGCAGTGGCACCGCAATATACTTGTAATAGCAGTTTCCCAAGAAACAAGCCTATTCTATTTGCATTTTTCATAAGCCTTAAAATGACAGGGTGCAGAGTAAATTTGCTTAATGGTTATATAGTGCACTTAGGACATGATAATGTTACCATGTTACAGGTAGTCCTAAGTTTATGACCACAACTGAGCCCAACATTTCTTTTGCTAATCAAAACGGTGAGCTAAGTGAGTTTTGCCCCATTTTACAATCTTTTTTGCCACAGTTGTCAATTGAATCATTGCAACAATTAAATGAAAATCATACAATTGTTAAGTGACTCTGGATTCCCCATTGCCTTTCCTTGTCGGAAGCCAGATGGAAAGATTAAAAATGGTGATCACCTGATCTCAGGACAGTGCAACTCTCATAAATACCGTATTTTTCGGAGTATAAGGCGCTTTGAAGTATAAGACAGACCTAGCTTTTGAGGAGGAAAACAAGAAAAAAAAATCGCTGCCTCTGCCTCCCAGCAATTTGCCTCCTTGCAGCAAACAGTCTGTTTCAGAGTCAGCACAGCCTGATTAGCACAAGCAGCTGATTATCGATTGGATCGGCCTCCTGACCATCAGCTGTTTCAGGCTGCAGGGATTGCCATAGCCTATTGCCGCCTCTTTGCGCCCCATTTTTGGCCTCCGCATCCCATTTTCAGTCTTCACACACTCCATTTTCAGCCTCCACATGCCTCGTTTTCAGCCCATTCCGATCCCCGCTGCCTGGCGGGGGCGGGGTGATTGGTGCATGCCAGTTGCCATGCATCTGAATTTTGGTCATGTGACCATGGGAAGGCTGCAATGGTTGTATAAAAACATGATCATAAGTCACTTTTTTCAGTATCATTGTGGCTTTGAATGACCTCTAAATAAATGGTTGTGAATTGAGGACTACCTCTAGTTCAGGGATGTCAAGCTCAAATCGTCACGGTGTTGTCTCGTGATGTTTTGCTGCTTAACTAAACCAGGCGAGGGTGTGGCAGGGCATGACACATCTGGCCCCCGGGGGATGTGAATTTGATAGCCTTGCTCTAGTTTGAATTCAAACCATAACTTGTGTGATGGGCAACCCTGTTTTAATATTTTTCACACCACACTGTGATTCTGTTGTGACCTTTATGTCATTTAGGTGCCTTTGAGATAGGTGTGGGGTCCCCTAATAACCATGTGGAGAAATCATTTTGATTTATATGGAGGCTAGTTTTGGGAGTGGGGAGCTAAGACTCTAAACAAAGAAGAGACAATGGCAATTTATATTTTCTTTTTACTATGTACAGCTACTGTTATGAGCTACTAGAGAAATCTTTAACAGTAGAAAACAGTGAAATTATAAACATTGGAAAGTAAATATTACAGTCACAAAAATGCTATGAGCAGACTATATACCCCTGTGAATATAAGACCTAAGAAAACTATTCTGGGCTGCATTTCACACATCAAAAGCCCACAAATCTTTCAGAAGGCTCTGAAATCGAGTGCTGCAATGTACTGCTGTAATTACCCAGCCATGATTATAGCACTAATTCAAGCTGTAGTGTTGTAATTATTCTGATATAAATGCCATCTCAGGGAAAGGGAAAATTGCATCTTGGTTAATGTGCCTCTGGATTGCTTGCATAAGAAAGCTATTTGGGGTAATTCAATGATGGGTACTATACCAAAAAAGGCATTTAAGAAATAAGCAATCTCTGAAATACTTTTTCAGTAGTATTGCGTTAACAGCATTCTCTAACAATTTAAATAAATTATTTTACTAAATTCCACCTATCCGGTTGGAGTACTTCCAGCAATTTTTCCTGGGTGTGGGTATTTATTTGCCTCTTATTTGAATTGAATGTATACATTTTTATACAATATATGTTGTTTCTTTATGAAGATTAGCACCACACACTTCGAGGTAAGTTTTTATGGATAACAATACACAATTAAGTTGTTCATAAGTTCAAAATATTACAACAATGCTTTTGCACAGAGTATAATGCAAAAGCAGCACTACGGGAAAAACAAGTTCATTATGACTAGGTTCAGAAATCACGTAACATGGTTGCTTGGGTTTTTTTATTTATAGCCAGTCATAGAACATGTTTTCAATTGTTTAATGTGAAACACGATATTTTAAATGTAGCATTTTTAAAAAAAAAATGGCATCCCTTTGATTTATATGGTAAGTGTTGTT